GAGAGAGAGAGAGAGAGAGAGAGGAGTGCGAAAAGATTAGGAAAAAAGACAATACATTCATAAACAAATAAAATAAATACATGTTGTATGCCATGTACATGGATCACCGACCAGTGATGATGACGAGTAAAGAGAAAAAAGACCCATGCGAAAACAGAAGAAACATTCAGAGAAAATTAATTTACAAAAACTCAACGAAGAGGGCAATGTGCAGAAAGTTGAGGACGAGATCACAAAGAGACTAGAAAACCGAGACACCAGTTCTATGAACGTTGAAGAGACATGGACTCTCTTTAAAAACTTAAGAACAGAAATACTGATAAAAGTATGTTGAAAGAAGAGAATTGGGAGAGGATACGTTAAGGGAACACCATGGTGGAATGACAACGTTAAAGAGGCCATCAAAGAAAATAAGAAACTTTTTCAGAAATGGATATAATCCCAGGACGAAAACGACTACACGCAATACAGACTAGCAAGAAGGAACTGCAAAAGAGTTGTTAGAGCATCAAAAAATGAATCTTGGACAACATATGGAGAACACCTAAGCGAACTGTGCCATAAATCACCACGTGACTTCTACAGAAGTGTAAAATCAATGAGGCTCAGAGAAGAACCGTACGACCCAACAGCTATAATTAATGACAAAACAGGAAACCCCATTTTGACAGCTCCAAAATCAAATCTAGATGGAGGGAATATTTCTCAGAACTTTTGAACACCACCCAAAAGCAAACAAACAAAGAATTTCAACCCAGTCTCCCAGAGGAAGAAGAACCAACAATCCTACAATCAGAGGTCAGACAAGCAGTTTAAACCAGCCAGAAAAAACAACAGAAGCGCAGGAATAGATGAGTTCACCACGGAGACCATCCTAGCATGTGGTGAAACTGGAATAACTTGGGTCACAAAAATCTTCTAGAAAGCATGGACAGAAAGAAAAGTTCCCGGCGACTGGCAAAAAGCGGTCATAGTACCAACCTGGAGGAAGAAAGACAGTAAGAGAGACTGTGGAATGTATAGAGGCATTTCACTGCTAAGCCATGTGGGCAAGATGTTCGCCTAGATATTGAAATGGCGAACAAGACACAAAGTTGAACCATTTCTGAGTGAGGCCCAAATGGGATTTAGAAAGGGAAGAGGATGCACCAACGCAATATTTGCCCTACGACAAATGTGCGAAAGGGTAATAGAACACACCATGGAACTAAATATAGTATTTATCGACCAGGAGAAAGCGTTCGACAGAGTGAACAGAAACAAGCTGTGGAAAGAACTCGAAAACTACGTTGTAAGAGGCCAACTTCTAGATAACATCTGT